AGTTGTGAGTTATTTTCTTTAATCTTCTTCCTTGAATATTAATTCTTCCTTTAAAATACTATTTCTATATCAAAGTTGGGGAGTGTTACTAAGATGACAATTAGTTAACATCTTGACATTGGTTATAGTAATAGCTATTTCTTCCTCTATGTTAATATTGGGGAGTGTTACTAAGATGACAATTAGTTAACATCTTGATATTAATCATAGTAGGATTCATATTCTTTAATATGCTTCCTTGAGTATTAATTAATTCCTATTCATATTTCATGTTAATATTTTAAACATTACTTAAAGTATCAACTAGTATTGTTTCTCATATTAATTATTACTAGAATCGATCGGTTAATACGCTTGTTATTAATCCGGTTCTTTCAACGGTAGTAAACTTGGAATATTAATGCATGCATCTCATGGTTAATATGCCAAGGGGAATTAATTATATTGATTAAACCAATAAACCGCTTGTGTTGAGGTTATCAATCTCAATCGTTTTCATCTTAAGTTTATTGCTACTATCAAGTTAATATACGGCGCTTGTTCTATATTGACTCGATAGTAAGTTTTATTAATGAACGCATCTCGTTATTAATAACTACCCTCGATGAACTGGATATACTCCTCGATTGAGTATTCGAGAGGAAGATAGTTAAAGATATAATCGGGATCGACGAACATTTCATTAAGTGGATAAAAGCAAAACCAAGCCTCCACATCTATTAATTAGACTCATATAGGTTTTTTATCTTAGTGTTAATTGAATTAAATCAAATCAAACTGAAAACCCCCCTTGTTACTATTTACATAGAAGAAAAGTGTTCCTTTCCCTGTGGATACGAACCTTACTTCACTATACTACGTATTAGTGTTGTATTGTAATTATTTTGAGTGCACCTCACGACAAAGTGCACGTCAAGGCATCCCCCAAAATGAAACGAAAAGTGTCAACCTTCGGCCCTATGCGACAACGGGCACTATTCTACTCCTCTTCACCACATTACATGTGCCTCAAGGAGTGGGGGACTGGAGGACCCTTCGGGAAAAATCACAAAAATGCAAAATGTCAAAAATCTCCCCAAGACAACAACATGACCCTTCTGTCCCAAGGTATGGGGGACTCAATGGATGCCCCTGGCAGAATCATGTGCAAACGCAGATCTCCCACAGGTGTACAAGCTACAAGCAAGGCAGCATCAGAGAACAACCACAATTACTCCTTTTCCCTCAAGTACCTTTCGGCAAACGGAGTGAGGGACTCTTGATGGAGTATATGGCCCAGGAACCCCCGGCCCATAGACTCCCACTACTGTAGCAAAGGCCCAACAGGCCCAGGAAGCATGGCAGGCCCAAATTACAGCGCCCCAAGTGCCAAGCAGCCCACGACGAGCACTGGGGTGCCTTCGCCCCCCTGGCCGAAGGCTCATGAGCTAACAGTACGGCTTCTTTAAAGCCCTCAAAGTGTCTGGGAGGAAGCGGCGAAAATAGGAGCCCTCGGTACCTAGAGCCCTCGGTATTTGGGGGCCCCCGGTATGAAGAGCCTTCGGCCAATCACCTACGGCCGAAGGCATCTCCTCGACAGAATCTCCCACCCACATGCGCTGGATCAATGTACCAAGTACAAACGTCACATCCAACCGCCACATTTAATGCGGCCACATGCGAATGCCAGTGCCACCCCACTGAGGTGACCCCTCGACCACCAGAATGATGACACGTGTCCCTATCTGGCATTTATTACTACTATAAATAGCAACCCTTTCCCCCATTTGTAATCCATGTTCAATACACTCAACGCATTCTCAGCAATATATATTCTCTCTCTTACTTTTGCTCTGACTTCTCTCTAGTTATTCCCCGCAGTAACCCCTCGGATAGATACCCCTGGGTTCACTTATCCATCACTCAGATGTCATTTCTCTCAAATTGTCTATGACAATATCAATCACGCGTATCCCTTTAAACCAAAACCATCTGATGTGGTTCATATTATTATTGATATACATATTGGCAGCTCATGGTCGTTGCGTCATCCCCTAAAAGTAAATTCACTACCGAGCACTAATAAGTGAACTGAAGATCAATGAATTATGATGTAAATACATTGTTTGAGATGGAGAATTGATTTTGCTAATTTGCACTTGGTGAAATCCTTGTTGGTTACGGTTATTACTTTAACTCTCTCTTTGTGAATACTCAATTATGGAGTATTTTCGATTCATCGAGCATAGTTATTAACAACAAGACGTGTTCCTTAATAACTCTTACTACTTCAGATGAAATCCAGGGCCAGTTTTATTTAAATAGAGGGCATGTTCAATAGAATTTGTTGGGCCTTTCTAATACAAGTCCAAATATATATAAATCATTATAATAAACCATTATATAGTAATTATTTTGTGTTCTTGGTAAAATAATTATTCAACCGAAAATATATGACCACTTATAAAGATATACAGAGTAATATTTAGAATATACATCCAATAATTTGGAATGAAATAATACTAGAGGGGTACGTAAGGAATTATGAAAACATGGGCCTACAAGATTTTGGGGGCCCTTTGCGGTCAGACATGTTAGACATGCTTAGAGCCGACCTTGATAAAATCAACTGAGATTGACAATCTCAATACAAATGGATTAACGCAATGGGACTCAAGGCATTTATATTATAGAAAATCAACTTGACAATCTCCTTGAGTCCCATTTATATTATAAAAAATCAACGCATATAAAGATCACCAAATTCATGCAACATAATCTAGACAAAACAACGATATTAATTGCAACATTATTAAAACTAAAAGCAAACACTTTGACTATGTTTGACACAATGAGCTAGAGTTGGAGACTAATATTTGAATTAGAAGCTATTCTCTGAATCAGAGACTATTGTTTGGAGATGAAGTTTGAAGTGTTGCATCTGAATTGCTAGTAGAATGGAGTAGACTTGTTTGAAAAAAGAGTTGAAAAGTGTCTAGATAGTATGGAATTACATTAAAGGGCGTGCGATTTTTTAATAGAACAAAATAGTTATTATAATTATTTTTATCTTCTCAAAATTATGGTAATTATAATTGTGAAATACTTGCAATATTGTTTTTGGAAGAAGTAGGTCTAAATTGATATCAAATCACTCAGATATGGGGTAAAACAACAAAATGACCACAAGCAACAGCCGACCCTTGAACCAGACTTGAAGTTAATCACTTTCAAAGAAGCAATATAACTCGTTGATCCTTGACTGGGCGCAAACGAACCAAAGACGGTCAAAGCAGACCTTCTATCACCCAAATCTAAATTGACAGTCTTACAACAATAGAAATAACAACAATAAATGCAAATAGTATGATCAAATAAATTAAAAAGCAAAAAGAAAATAAATTAAAAATATTGCTCCATCCTCCAAAGCACCACCACCGTCCACGTTCCCTTCCATCTGATCTGCTTCTGATGATTTGGCAGGCCTAATGATCGGAACCCGCCACCTCCATGTTTTTTGGCTTGTTTAGAGCCATGCTATCATCGATTGGGTCCTCCTGCTCCTGAACCTCCCATATTCTTTTACACTTTTGTTCCCCTGATGTTTCCTCGATGCTCCCTAAATCCTCTTCCTTGGTCGTGCTATTGCATGTGCCCGCGGTGGACTCCCTCCAGCCTTGTCCTCCTACTACTACTCGGCCCTTAATATCATCCTTTTGTTGTATCCCCACACATGTACTAAATGAGCCTTCAACTAGCCACTTGTTTTCCCCTGAAGGACTAGTCTTTCCCCCTCCACCAACTCTAAGATCCACCCCATAAGATTTTTCCTTAACCAAATTATCCTCATATGTCAATGGGTAAAACTTGTCAAAATGGCCAATAACTCCACAAATAAAGCAAAAGTTGTGTAGTTTTTCATATTTGAAATCTAACCAATGGCCAATCCCTCCTTTCTTAAGAGTTGTTCCTTTTTTCAGAGGTTTTCCAACATCATACAAACCCTAACACGCATATAAGTTTCCCACTTTTCGTCAAATTGGTTTTTATCATAGCTAATAAATTTACCAATAAAATTACCAACTCCTGTAGCAGTGCCTAAGTTCATAAAATCATAAGGAACATTATGAACCAACACCCAGAATTCAGCCTCATTGAGGCTAATTTTGAGTTGAATATGCTCTAGCTTGACTTCCTTGAGAATCAGCAGATTCCTTTCAAACAACCACGGGTTACTCTCAAGTACACGTCTCATATCCACAACATGATAGAAAGTGAAAAGATACCTTTTGCCACCTATTTCTTTGATTGACACACCTTTTCCTGGTCTCCCCAAAGAAGCCATAAGTTCTTTGAAGATTTGGAACTTAATCTTCCTATCAGTCAGAAGGGTGCCTACCACCGGGAAGCTTGCCCGCCTCTCCTCCGTCGCTGATTCTCCGAACTCATCATCATCAAAGTTCAACTCCTCAATATCCCCTCTGATTGTCATGTTTTTGTATTGATTCACAATGTTTCCCATTGACCTCCTCCCTTTTGGATCGATCCGAAACCCGCCACCACGTTCAAGCAACCCTTCACCATCCTTGCTGGAACGAACCGAGACCGCTGCAAAAGGGTCACAAACCTCAACTTGAAGCTAGACTCCCTTCACTCAGCCTAGAATCATCACCGCAACCACTCTTCGTCAAAACGACAAAAGTGGAGATACCGAAGCCCTAGAGAGGGAGAGACCGCTAAGAATGAATTCAATGATGGAATATATTTAGTTAATAATTAATATTCCGAAATATTTGCAATAATTGAAAAGTATGAAATTATTATAATTATTTTTAAATATTTGCATCACATTCATTTTTTGATATGATTTTCAATTAAAAATACTCAATTGCCTTACTTTTCCGCTTTTCATCTTCTCCTTGATAATTTTCTATCGATATGTCCTGCTTTTTCTACAGTATCACTTTTTCTTGAACTTTTTTTTATAATACTTTTACTTGAACTTTGTGAAAAGCCTAATGTAACAAACAAAAAATACGGAGGAATTAATCATAATAATGACAGTATAAAGGGGTCATTTTGGTCTTGCAACCACCCAAATTAGAAGCCAATATTTGAACACAATTAGGTTTGAAACCCAACCTGTTTTCAGTCAACTTGACTGCCATTAGGTTCAAAAACTATTCTAGTAGAATTTCCCACCCATGCATGGGCAGTTAAAGTAGGCAAAAAGATGAAACTTCACTTCTCACAATGGCTATAGTCCACGCTATCATTCTTCAAAACTAACTTATAGCCCCTCCAAAACAGCAATAGGAGGCTCGCTGAAGCAGACTAGCAGGTCAAAGTGAAAACTTTTCAGGATGGCTATTATGCACAGATGTTGAAATTTTGTGAATAAGGGCTAAATCATTGGCAGGCGGGCTAGTATGCCGGGCCGGAAACATAATCTTTTCAATCGAACAGTTTCCTGCAGAAGAAACTTCTTATAGTGGGTAACTGAAAAGCTAAAACATTTGATCTGTAAAATTCAAATGGAAAACAAACATGTACCTCAGTGTTATCATGACCATATCGGATCACGAATAGGCACCTGCAGCCTCTTATATCGTGCAATCTCTTTTGGATTTCTGTGACATTCGCTTCTAAGTATCTTGCTTGATCCTTTTTCTCCTGCATCATATGATTGTATGAAGTAGAGGCCAGCTAACTGAAAGAAAAATTTTAAGTTGACAAGCATCTTTCAAATATTTTATGTATGAAGGGGGGATGGATAGACATACAAAATCGTGTGTTGCTATTTAGTGGCCGTTCAGCAGCTTCTTTTTCGGCTTATCACCCATATTTTTTTACCAAAGACTAATTTATGACTGTGCAAAGCTAATTGGCTAATATTAATAAAAATAGACCTGGAGGTGAGGTTACTGAATATGATCATTTAGCATTATATGTCTCTTTTCTATATTTTATCCATCAAATATACGATAGTATTTAACATCTGTTTTCAAAATTCAATATTTTAAACAACTTCATCAATATCAGCAACAATATCGACGAAGTTCACTATTACAAAACAGGGTCTCAAAGTTCTCAAAGGTGTTATGCAAGTGGAACCAGAAAACCAGGGCCGCCAGGATTAATGCATTACTGACTAGGGAAAGAGCGCTCAGGCAGAAAACAGTACCTGAAAACACAGAACACTATCTCCGATCACCACTCTGTTGCACTCTGAATGCTCCAAAGCAATAGAACGTTCACGGACTGACTTCCTTATGTTTACCCACTCATCCTCCTCTTCCCCAAACCCAATAAACCTCACAAGAACTTCCTGCAATATATATGGCATTGGATGAATTGTTGCAAAATCAGAAGGCACCCCACTGAAATTTTAGTTACTTACAGCATCCCCTGAGCTTAAATATCTGTGTGAGATAAAAGAATCAATATCATACCTGTCAATTTTCCACACACAAAATGATCATTAAAATCAATGGGAATTACCAATAAGAACACAGTTCTGAACCACTTGAAAGATGACTCCTCTGAACCCTAGACACTATATCCATTTTTGTATCTTCTCTCGTAATAAAACTTTTATCCCTGTTATGTATGTACTCTTCATGATTCATCATTAAGATCTTGATCCGCGTAAGTCTGTGTATTATTTCTTTCTTTTTTGCATCTAACTTAAAGTTTTATTAACAAATCCTTGAGATTTTAAAAGATTGTAAGAATAACATAAAACGTGAGCATATATCATTTCAATTTTCAATTACTTTTATTCATTCTAGAAACATTTTTTAAGATACACAGACAAGAATTTATGAATACCTCATCATTTCAAATGTAATGATGAGGTGGAAACATGTTTCTAAGAATGAAGGTTCAAATGCATGTTATGCTGCATGCAAGAGGTAATGCTGAAATGGCTATGTACCCAGTTAATAATTCCTGACTGAAATGAGACCAACACCTTCTTGCTTTGATAATGTAGGCTTACCATGCCCCATCTTTCGATGATCTAGCTTCAAATTCTAACTCTGACAGATCTGGAACTTTTTCAGCTGGAAGAAAGTTTGCCAGCACTGAGTTAGTATCACAATAGCTGTAATTCAATACAAATAGAAGGGCAGCAAGAGTAATTTACTGAAACAGAAATAGAATGAACTAGTTGTCCCCCAAATTTAGGCTACTAATAATGTGTTCATTATAGATAAAAGGAAATATACTAAGATGGCTCTGATTTGGAAATGTTAAGTTCTCATCACACTGCAAAAAAATTATTGGTGATAAATCATATGTAAAACTATTTTTAATGAGATTAATGTGAAGAACCTTGGAGATGATAAGGTTTACGCAAATGTATCATAAAAGACCAGATGCCAGACCAATTTAACACAACTCTTTCAATGCAAATATTGTATACTAATGATGTCTTACTGCATACAGTACGGTTTTACCTACATCTGAACACATATAGACGTAGCCATACAAATTAAGTAACAACATTATTTTGCAACAATGCTCAAACCTTCACAAATAATGCAGCCTTTGAGCCTTTCCCTAAAAAACAAATAAAGGCTTAAAAAATAGTAAAAAAATACTAACAGGCTAACAGCGTGTTAGTAAATCTATTGAAACAGAAAATATCATACCAAAGGAGATAACATTTTTTATATGAGAATATTCTTTTTCATTGTCTGGATGGTGCGAGTCTGGGACATCGGGCAATACTTTGAGGGAATCTGGAGGAGTATCCATTAGGAGGCACTTTTGCTGCCTGTTCTCAAACCATTTTTGTATCTGAAAATGAATTACAAGCTACATAAGTAAGTACAATACAAAAGATGACCATCACTAGATCAAGAAATAATCATACATACCTCCATCCACTTCACAACAGGTTTTCCAGCTCGACCCTTGGACTGACTGAATACATCGAACAAGAAGCGACAGATAACAAAATTCATTTTTCAAATTTTTTTCTTTGAATATAGAAAATGAAAGGAAATTGGATGAAATATTAAATAAAAACTCACTTGAAACCCTTTGCCAATTTCTTACAGAAGTCTTGGTCTAAGACCTTTTCATTTGATTCCTTAAGTAAGGAGTCCATCCTCTGGACCTGTTTGATTTATAGGGGGAGAAAGTGTGAAGCAAACCCCAATTTTAGTGAGTGTGGTTGATAAAATATGATTAGCCTTGAACTGGTTACAATGTTGCATTTTCATTCAATTGATATGTGAAGCAATAGGTGGGTGGGTGATTGAATCCTAAAAATGTCACCCAGGGTGGGTGAAAGAATAAAGCATGCCAATATAAAGTAGAAACTCTCAAACTACATGGCAACTAATTTCACATTATCAAATGTTAATAGCTATTTGGAAAGCCAGAAGGAAAAAAACAGACCACTGAAACATTCTTTCAAATGAAAACTAAATTCCTTATAGGAAGACAGACTGAAACTTGTTTTCTAACCAGCTTAAAGATCACCCCTTGTTTTTTTTGCAAATAAAGAGGAATCTGTAAAATCTTAAAGGGCTTTATATTTGATACACAAATTACTCTACTTACTATCTTTCTAAGTGAATGTAAGAAATAAGTACATCAGATATACAAAAAATGAGTCTATGACACTCTCTTTAGCAACAACATGTATATTACATATATACATGCATATAGATATGTGCATGTAGATACATATATATGAGTGTGCATGTATATCCCTAACTCGTTCACTTCTATAGCAAATTGAACTTTAACTTGTTTGCACAATGGTTCCATAGTTTTATACTAATTAATCAATCAAAGATTTTTCCACAATCTTTTCATACAAATCACTCATTTCAACAGCAAGAACCAAATGCGGACTACGAATCTGCGCAGAGCCCGACAGCTATTTGAAATTTAAAAAGTTGATAGTGTGACCAATTGCCAGTTTAATACAATATATTGCATACTTTAAGATGACAAACTAATTATCAGAATATAGGCAACATATATTACAGTGGTTTTCTTAATTTTTAGTTTGCATGCCATAGTTTACTACACGAGGACTTTGATATTCATGATTCTTTTTCCATGTTGACATTGTGAATTCGGCTTACCTAGTCAATGCAATAACCTAGCTGATGGAAAAGCCAATACTCGAAATGCACCTTTTATTCAATCCAGCATTTTAACAAATTAGAGAGTAACACACTTCCTTCTTTCGAACACTTCACAACTTAACTTTACTAAAAAATCTCTAAGATATATTCTCTACCAATGTTGAAAAATTTGAGCGCTTGTAAGAAAGCAATGGAAACATAGTTGTGTGATGGGAGATTACAAAAAGACAATAACCATAGGCCACAAATTTGAATGATGAAGCATTTCTAGGGAGATTGAGAGAAGAGAAGCACCTCGTCTTCGGTGAAACCAGAGAAGGATTGCCTCTGCCTGGGACGAAGATCCATTCAATCCCAACTCTTCAGAAGGAAGTCTATCGAACTGATTGAAGATAAAAAACTTGGCTTTCAGGTATCAATAATAATTATTGATAACCTATAATCTATTGATATTCTGGATACTAAGGATCGAGTGTTAGGGAGTGTTAGTTATGAAAGTGTTACTAAGTGTTATATTAACACTTGTTTGGAAGAAAAATTAAGAAGTGTTAAGAAGTATTAGTAAATGTTAGGAAGTGTTAATACTAACACCCCGATTTGGAGTGTTTTGAGATGTTGGACACTTATTACCCTTCTCATTTACCCTAAAACATAAAATGTTTCGACATCTCACTTCGAATCTCTTTAGCGCGGGTCTGATGATCTGCCCTTTTCATCTCTTCTCCTTACTCGCTTCTTCAGGCTCAAGGTAAAATTATTAACGCTTACATTATTAACATTTCATTCATTTGACTCTCCCAAACAGGGTAAAATTATGTCTAACACTTAGGAACACTTCTATTACTAACACTTCTAAACACTCTATCCAAACAGGCCCATAACTTCATTCGCATTGGCTCCTAAAGTTTTTGTAATACTCGTTACTACCATATTTGATTATTTATATAATTATAATTTGATTTATTTCTACTTCACTGTTTCACTATCATAGTCAGCCTTTTTTTGCTATATCAGTTTCAAAAAACCCGACATCCTTCTTTAAAGTGTCAGTGATTTCATCGAACTATAAGTTGTTTAAAGTTAAACCTTTATACGCTTTAAACGCGTTTGGAACACATACTGTTTTTTGAATATATAAAAACCAAAAATAATGTTAGCCCATTTAATAGGGAAAAATAATCATGCTCCCTCTACTTTACAAAAAGAGGAATAAAACATCAATCTCTCACATTTTAATAATAAAAAATAGAAACATCAATTAATCGATTAAATGAATGCATTAAATGTATAACAAATCAACAATAGTTTAAATTAAATGTAAAAAGGAAAACTTCATCCCCGTGTCTCCGTGCTTTTGTATTGTTACAATACAAAATACGTAATATACAATGATTTAATACTAAAATTAAATGCATAGTGGTTAAGGATAACATCCTAAAAGCCTAGAACTTCAAATGCCACTAGATTTTTTGACATTTTTTCAAATACACATCCCAAAATTAAGATTTTTCTATACTTGATATTTTTCTAGTATAAACTTCTACATATAAAAAAGAGATTTTGACACTTTTTGTCCTCCGACTATTATGTTGCTGACACTTTTGGTACACGATTGTAAGTTTTTCCACTTTTAATCCTTCGACTATTGTGCGAAAACGCTTTTGATACTCGTTTTTGAAAATTTCCACATTAAGTCCTTCGACTTTCATAAAATTGACATTTTTTGTCTTTCATCTATTATTATGGTGACATTTTTAGTCCTCTGCTTATTGTATCAAAATCATATGAGAAGACTAAAAGTGTTAATTTGATAATATTCAGGAGACTAAATGAGAAAAAAATCAAAGTTGACGACTAAAAATGTCTCCCGCATAATAGTCAAGGACTAAAAAAGAAAAATTCAAAGTCGAGTACTAAAGTGTCCCTGACACAATAGTGAGGGACAGAAAAGGGAAAAACTCCATAAAAAATGTAGCACTCACACAACTTTCTCGTACATCATCCATTTTGATGAAGATGATGAGTTCAACTTGAATACCTTGGACTCAATTATATATTACTACTTATTATGCTTTATTTTTTACATTATTTTTCCAAATTATGTCTTGAACTTAATTACCACTCTCCATGTCCTCCTATTATTGTCTCAGATCCTATTCACTTGGTCAATACAAATAACTCTTAATCTCTTACTTTATGTATCAAATATTTATCAAATTTGACTCTGGTTTTTGTGACTTTGTAAAGCTTTAAATGTAGTTTCTGAATTTGTAATTGTTTTTCTAAAAATAATTTGAGTGTGGATCGGACATGTATCTCTTTGCTTTATCATTGGTCAAACATCGTAAACCGCAATGGTAAAATAATAGGGGAACGGAGGTAGTATTTTTTTTGTCATATATCGACTTGTGCAGTTACGAATTATTCTTTGATATAGTAATGAGATTTTCTATTTGAAGATGTGTATAACTTTATTTCCTTTTACTATATATATGTTGTTTTGTGGTATATGTAATTTGAATGTTCAAACAATATCCGTATTTTTTGTATGGATTTTTGTAACAAATACCACATTATATATGTATACACATTTATATATTTTCTAAAAGTCAACACTTTTTAATGAGTTTTTGTCCGTTTTTAGTTCACATTATCGAATAAAACATGTATGTATTGAATCACATTTAATTCACGTACTATATCTAAATAATTACATTCACTATTCATCACATGCACAGACTCACTGGTGGAGTATAGGATCTGGATCACGGCTCACCAGAAACAGTTCTGGTGACCACATTAGAAACAGCTCGAAACCGTCTCAGAAATCAATTTAGCTCGGTGATGTCCCCTCATAAATCTATCAATGGATCAGGCTTTGGCCCCGATCTAATATAGACTCACCATTTTTATGAGTATGGGTCAACATTTAATTCCATTTATGGAGTCCCGAACTCAGACCCATTATTTACTTTGAAAAAAAGCTATTTGATGTGCATATATTTCATGAACAAACTAATAAAAAAAGACCGTGGGTGTTGGAGGTATTGGTCCTACCAAGGCCTCCCTTCCACTTTATTTGCTGAGGCTTGCACCCTATTGTTTTACTCCCACTTTGGTACCTTTTCTTTGGTATATATCCTGATCAAATATATACCTATTTTGAGCGGTTGACTTAATCCACTTGGCTGGACCCTTCTCTACCTCCTGTCCGCTGCACTCTTTGCCTGGCCGCCTGTGAGCCTTTTTTGTCTTGGCTCTCACCCGTGACTTCCTTCTGGCCGTTGCTATTATTTAGAGGCCTTGGCCTCTTCATGTGATTGTAGCCTGCGTAAATAATCCCTGAGAGCAGAGCTCCCTTCTTCTTCCTTTGTGTGAGAGAGTAGAAAGGTCTTAGTGGAGAGTTGAGAGTGGATGCTATAGCCTCCTCCTAATGTGATGTATGTGATTATAGTGGAATAGACCTGAGCCGAAGACGGATATACGATCCTAACAGTGGGAATAGAGAGAAGTAATGAAAAACATACTTCGTATTTTTTTAAAAAAAGAAAAACATACTTCGTATATAGTACTCCATATTATATTTACAGTAAACCCCATTTACACAAGCATTGTTTCTAGCTATAATCCAAAAGCATATGAAATAATACAATAATGTCTTCATAGTATTTATTCAATCTTAAGGAAATGAAGAGATAGAAATATAAATCAAAGAAATCATTAACTAGTTCTCCATTTACACAAGAGTTCTATTCAAAAACTTCTAGAACAAGAGAAATGTAAATTGATCATGCAGTTCATGCTGGTGGAGAGAGAGAGAGAGTGAGGAATTACGAAGTACATACAATTATTATTGTTCCAAGTATCGAGGAGATCAAATTAATAAAGACCAAGAGTTGAAGGACTAAATTGTAAATATTAGTCTTCTATTATTCTATTCTATTTTTAGTATTAGATATAAAAGGAACTGTAAGCCTTAGACCTAATTTCTAATTTTCCAATCATCTTCTTCCTTGAGAAAAAAATGCTCTCGTTTTCTCTTCTTCTCTGAATCGAAATACTTCTCTTCATTATTCTTTGACTTCTGTAAAAGTTTACACGGTATCAGTTTAGCTTCAGATTTGATCATTCCTTCCGCTCATCTGAATCTCAATTGATTGATTTTTCTACGATGTCAACCGACAGTGTTCAAAACCTTGATCTTACGGATGATCCTTCGTCGCCGTACTATCTTCATCCAGCTGATAATTCCGGTATTCGAATCATCTACGAAACATTCAATGGTGACAATTACAATGCTTGGCAGAAGTCGGTGGTTATGGCTTTCAACGTCAAAATAAGATGGTGTTTCTTGATGGATCCATATCACAACCTGCCTCTGATAATCCAATCTATCTTGCTTGGTATCGGGTAAACACGCTCCTCTTATCTTGGCTTGTTTACTATATTGCTCCTGAAATTCGAACTACCTTCCTATACTTTACTGTGGCTAAAGATATTTGGGAAGAAGTTAAGCTTCGCTATGGAAAAAGTGACGGACCTCATGTTTTTCAACTTGAAAATCTATGACTAATATGTCTTAAGGTTCTCAATCTATCACTGCTTTCTATAATTTTTTCAAAACTATTTGGGATGAATACTGCAATTATAGAACTGCTCCAGTCTGTAAATGTGGTAAATGCACCTGCAATCTCAATGAACTCTTTCAAGAACTTTTACAGAAAGATTATGTCTATAAATTTCTCATTGGTCTCAATGACTCTTATAATGTTCTGAGAAGTCAGATTTTGTTACGCACTCCTATTCCAAAAATTCTACTCTCTATTCTCTTCTTCTTCTTCAAGAAGAGTCTCAACGTTCTTTGCACAATCCTCTTGAATCTGTAGCAATGCTTTCTCATATTCCTAATACTCAATATCAATCCATTGCTTCTCCCTCTACTATTGAGTCTAATGCTCTCATTGGCAAGTCCAATATTCCAAAGAAAAAGTTTACTGTTACTTGCTCTCACTGTGGTTTTCAAGGCCATTCTTCTGAACGTTGTTATCAGCTTATTGGTTATCCTCCTAACTGGAAAGATCCTAAGGGTTAAAGATATGCACCTAGTTTCAAACCACCCTCCACTAATGCTAACAAACCATCTCAAGCACATTTGGCATCTGCTGCCCCAAATGATACTACTGATGCTCATGAATTTGACTTTTCCAATCCTGATCTCTACAATCAATTCCTTCAGTTCATGAAGAATCAACAATCTGTGCCCAACTCTTCTCATGCTGCTATGGCTATATCTCAACCTACTGATCATGATATATCTTCATCTCCTACTGACAACTCTTTCAGATGTATCTATATCAAATCTAATTGGATTATTGATATTGGCGCCTCTGATCATATGATTTATAACTTGAATATGTATACTTCTCCTACTGGTAATACTACTATGGCTACTCACATAGGAGATATTAAACTAAATAATGATTTAACATTACATGATGTCTTATATGTTCCAAATTTTAATTACAATCTTATCTCTGTATCTAGTCTTACTTCAAAT